CTACCCAGTCTAGGGCCTGCCAGGTGTCTCCAGGGCCTGTCTGATCATACTAAGAAAGACATCTTCTATGAGCAGTGAATGGCCTGTGCCTCAAACTCTCCAGAGATGTAGGATTCATGGAGGCTTGGAGTGAGGCTGGCTTGGTGTTGTGTAACCTAAGGTCAACAAGGTGAAAGCTAGGTTGTGACCCTACCAGGTCAGTCCTGGTAGAGAAGACGATAATGTCTGAGATACTTAGAGCACACTCCTCAGGACAAAGTGTAATTGGAACCTAGGCTACTTGAGTGATTAAATAGACTTGAAGTTCACATGCCACTTACAAGTACATACAGATAACTAGGTAACAACCTGTGAGGTCAGGTATTTGTCATCCTTTCCATTTCATAAGTGTGGAGTTCAGGGAAAGTGACTTGTCCCAGGCTGGGGACTTAAATTGGCCTTGTTATCCTTTGGGACAAGTTGATACTAGTTTTAATCCAAAGAATGTGAACTGTAGAGGTAGAAGTGGATTTCAGAACCAGATGATCTTGGTCACCAGGTTTCTTGTGGTATGGGTATGGAAGAAAGTTTTGAGACCAGAATGAAAACTTCAGCCCTGCCATATGCTAGAGGAATGAACTTGAACAAATTCATGCCCATTGTTGTTTCCCTCATCTGTGAAAGAACATCTCAAAGGATTAAATAGCACAAAATAGTATTCAAGTAGTCTCATATGCTAATGCCCTGTTCTCTTTCTCACCACCTTCACATGCAGTCAGGAGCACAATTTTATTTTCACCAATATCGTTTGACACAACTTAATTTCTACCTCTAAAATAACTAGGAATGGACTCATCAGAGATCTTTCTCAGCCAAAGGGTTGACTGGGAATAAAATTTGTGAAATGAAACTAAACCTTCAATTACAGCCTAGGTGATTGAACTACATTTTCAGAGGGTTGCAGAAACATTTGGCCTAGTGTTGTGGGTGCATTCAGCCTTTTCCAGGCTGCCTGCCGCTGGGACTTTTGCCCAGCGGCCTGGCATCATGGAGATTTACCCAGCATGCTTGATCGAGCCAGGCCCTGGCTGAGGATTACATTTCATCTAGTGTTGAAATCACTTGAAATTCCCCTTGTTCATCCAAAGACACAGAAATAAAAGAAGCAACTTGTGGTCTTGCTGAGAAGAGAACTCTATTGTTAGCAATTCTTGCATCTTTTATTTTCTGTGTGCCCCAGATAGATATTCTTTTGTTAAGAATCTCAAGAACATGGATATTTATTTTAAACACTAAACATTTCGTTTTTTCTTTTTATCTGTGACTGTCAGAATTCTTTAAAAGCTTTTGTGGTGAGACTGTTTTTACTGCTTTTCACTTTTGAATGCACTAGCATTCAGAAGATTCATTTTTGACCATGAAGCTCAAAGCTGAGAGGCCAAACCATTCTCTTTAAAGAATTCCCTGTTCTCAAACAACATATCACACACATCACAATCAATTGAAATGTCAACTCAGCTCCCCGTTCCTTATTTTGGTGAAGGCTTGCTTCCTATGTTGCTAATTTACCTCTTAATACAGTAATAAATGAGCTGATGCTCTGGTATCCAGTTAGGACCCAAGGACACATGATAAGAAGCCATTCAAAGGCACTTTTCAGATTTTTCTTTCTTTGACCAAAGATCACAACACTGTCATTCATTGGACTTTCATCCACAGCAGCCTGAAATAACAGCAGTACCAGGCCTATGTCTATACTCTGCATGTTTTATTAAAACGATAACTTCCCTCAATTCCCAGTACCTTAAAGCTGATTCTTTTCTATACTTGATCCCAGGTTTGTGCTAATTTGTCTTTCAAATCATCATCTTGAGAACTTGTCAGTCCTCATCCATGAAATCCAGGGAAACAGAATTTCCCTTTTTAGGGTCTTTTAAGGGGGCTTTGGGGAAGGATATATATGGTTAAAGGTAAAGGGTATGGGAGAAGGGAGTGTTAGGGTGGGGCAGAGGAAAGAGGGAGGGGGCTGGGATCAGGCTGTAAAGTGATTAAATAAATAAAAGGAAAAAAGTTGAGAAACTGGATTTGTTTATCTTACTACTATTTTTTTAGAGAGTCTATCTGTAGACAGGACTATGAAGTAAGGGAATAAAATCTAAAAAAAAAAAATCTCATTGATTTCGTAAATTAACTATACGCTTGCAAAAGCCAAGTCTGCAGCACAGTGTAGAGTGCTTGCCTAATATGTGAGATACTGGGCTTGATGTCTAAAGGTGAAAACCTCCAAGCCCAACAAGATCAGTGCCTTACGAGCTATGAAAAGAACCAACCAACAGTGTGTGCCCACAGTATTACCTATATTAGGATACATCTAGGAAACTGACACATTGCCAGCCCTTTATTCAGTCTTATGCATTTCTGGTAACCATGATCCATTGTCTACACATTCATATCTCACACGGGTTTATATTTGTGTTATATGGCTAAGTACCTACTTACCTTCTTCCTCCCCCGTCTCCCTTCCCCAAGACAAGGCCTATGTAGTCCTGGAGCTGTACCAGGCTGGCCTGGAAGACGTCTTCCAGCCTCTGCTTCCTGAGTGCTGTGATTAATGGTGTGTACCACTACACCTAACTTTTTGTTTGTGTGCATGTGTGGTACATATGTTTACATGAATGCTCAGGTCAGAGCAGGATGCCAAGTGTCTTCATTTGTTAATGTCTTATTGTCTTGAAACAGTCTCACAGGACACTTAGTGTTTTGGTAAGGCTAGTGAGTTCCGAAGGGTCTACCCTGTCTCTGCTATCCAATGCTGTCATTATATGAAGACACAGTCATGTTCAGCTTTTAGTTTTTGGATTCTAACTCTCTTACCCACTGAAACATCTCCACAGGGAACAATCCCTCTTCTGCTTTTTTTATTTTTTCAGTTTATTTACATTCCAAAGGTGACTCCTCCCTTTTCTCCTCCCATTCTCCCCTTCACCTCTCCCTTTCCCCCAGAAAAGGGGAGCCTCCCTCCCCAGTATCAACTCTTCTAGTACATCAAGTCACATCACTGAGCATATCCTTATCCCCTGAGGCTAGGCAAGGCAGCACTGCCAGGGTAAACTGATCCAAAAGTAGGCAAGAGTCCATATTAGAAAGAGGGGCCCCCTCACTCACCAGGCACCCCATATGAAGACCAATTGGCTACATATGTGCAGGGGCTTAGGTCTAGACCATGCATGCTCCCTTGTTGTCTCTGTAAACCCCCATGGGACTGGGTTAGTTGTCTCTGTGGGTCTTCTCGTGATGTTCCTCTTACACACTGCTGTGAGGCATACTTGAAGTCCTTTTCTTTTTCTTTTTTAGGGGAGGGAGTATGTGTGGGTACAGATTCTTACTATGCAGTTCGAGCTCACCTCTAACTGCCATTCCTTGAGCTGCCTGAGTGTTAGGATACTGTCATGCACCACACATGAGCTTCTTGAAGGAGGAACTGACAGCACAATATGGCAAGGCACTCAGGACTCACTGTTTGTGAGCTACAGGGCTCTCTCATTCAGTAGCTGTGCTTTATCTGGGCCCTTTCCACTTGAAACTTATATACATATTCCTTCATATGTACCTGAATAGAGTAAGCCACTGGTTTCTGAAAATCCTGCAATATCTTTCATAGCTGTGAGAAACATAAATCCCAGAAGATGGAGCATTCATGAAGTAGATGGTTCATAATCTGTTATTCCTCATAATGAAAGTATAGTCACACCTTTCTTTTTTAAACATGAACCCTGTTAACAAACACTTTACTAAATCGAAAATGCTGACAGAATGTAAAAATCAGCATGAATGAAATACTCATTTCTAAACTTAATCAGAAATTAAGTACCTATACCAAAACAACATATGGAATAAAACAAAATAGGCCTTATATGGTGTTTACTGTTTACAGATATTTACTGTTGTCTAAACTGTTTTCAGGAGCCAACTCTCTGTGCTTCTCTCTTTTAGGTTTTTTTTTTTATATTGTACTCCACCAGCCAGGGAAGCACATTTACTTGTGGCTTTAATTGAGCTGTTTCAATTCTCTATAATCCAGCCTAGTTTTGGTGAAATACATATGTAACTGCATTTTCACAAACACAGTAGAGAGCAGGGTCTCCCTTCCCCTGAGCTTCCACAGTGCTTGGCTGAGTCCTGTCACATACTTGGGAGCTTTAGCCTGTATGGAGCCCTTCTAGGAAAGGATGCAAGATGAGGCACACATCCCCACGTCATGTAGCTTATGGAAGTTGGCTCTCCTTGACTCAGGGTTCCTTTACAGCACAAAAAGTTGTGATTAGACTTGGGTACCCAACTCAAGATCTCTCAAGTTTTAATTAAAGAAAAGTAAAAACAAATAATAAATAGGTGGATTTACACTGCATCACTAACTCATAGGTCTACTTGCAAATGACCTTCCCAGGAATGTGTGTTTCCTATCCTTCTATGCCATGTGGTTCTCAAAAGAACATTAAGAGCAGAGCTTTCCTGTGTTTTAAGAATCTCTGGTATTCTTAGTGGGGACCAACTAGGCCTCATCCTCCCCTCATGACTAAGTCCAGAGAATGTAAGGTGATGGAGTCCTGTGACTCTTTAACCTAAGTAACATTCCACCCACTGTCCATGAGCATCTGGTCACGGTACCTGTACAACTGATCTGTTAACTTGTTATAAACTAAGACGAACCCAATATTCAAGTACATTAGTCAACACTATGCCAGGTTGTTACTACATATCTTCAGCTTCCAAGTATGGAAGTTCTTGGGCCCATTTTTTTTTTTTTTTTCTTAAATGCAATCTGAAGATGTATAGCTGCTGTTCTTTGCCAGGTGTGGGCAACAAATACTTCCTTTAACATGGTGGGATGCTGTTGACTCCTGAGAATGTGTAATAAAGGGCTCTAGGGATAGATTGCAAGACACATCTTCCAACCTTCCAAGACAAAGATGTAAAGTTATTAAGAATATACAAAGCCCATAGCACACTCACTGCCTCAGCACAGCAATAATATTTTTATTAGGATAGTTTGAATGGCCATAGTCTAGGACTTCCAATTTGTCTACTGTCTTTTCAGAAGTCAACTAGAACTAGTTACAATTTTTCTTCTGCGGGTATGTAAGGTTGTTATAAGCCTGGAAAGGTTATTTAGTACCAGGGAAGGCTAAAGCCCAAAATGCAAGGTTAATGCCCTTGTTTCTACTCTGTTATACCACCAATGCAAACCAAAACATGTGCACACATACGCATACACCTAGAAAAACCCTGTATATCCATCTGTTCATATGTGGCTCAACCGTACTTGATAAAAATGCCTGTGGTCTGAAGTTTTAAAAGACTGATGCTGAGAAAACGGAGAACTGCCAATATCCCATGAGAACAGAAAGGGAGACAGAGGGAAGAACTAACTGCTATATTTGCTTGTCTTTGGCCCCATAATGGCCCTCATGTGTTGAGATTCCCATCTGATGAGAAGAAATGACACGGAGGTCATGGATAGACCTCACGGTCCACTGTGAAAGCTCTTGAAGGACCTTCAAGCCCCACAGCTTCTTCTCAAAGAGGCCACCATTTCCAGCAGCTACAGGCATCCCATCAGCTTCATTTTCAGGGATCTTATGTTCCAGAAGCACCATTAACTCCTCTAGCTGGTAGGCAAAAGCAGAAACTTGGAGCTGAAGAGTATGTATTGCCTGATGGAAGTCACCTTCAGTTGGGGTGAAATGCATCCTCTGGTCTTCTAAAAGCCTGGTTAGCATCCCATGGAAGATACGGTAAGCCTGGAGGTTCTCTTTGAGTCGCTCTGCCTCAGTCATCTCACTCCAGCGTTCAGTGCTTGCCACTGGTACACCATCCACAGAGTCCAGGTTAATATTTTTATTCAAGCCCTGATGCTTCACCTGGCCAAGGATATAGCAAAACATGCTCCATATCATATCAATTCTTCAATCACAAATAAAATCTCCTTAATTTTCATTGTAAGTGGTCTAAATTATAAAGAACATGTCTAGAACAGAAACCCTTCCTTTGGAGGCCTATGATTCTACAGCACTTCCTGAATTACCCTATCTCCAATGCCCACTCTCAAGGTGAAATTGATCTTTTAGAATACAATAGGACTGGTTTTGAAAGGGCAACCACTAGTTTCATAACTGGCAAAGCTTTTCAGAAGTTATTGATTCTTAGAGAACGTAAATGTAACTTTATCAGAGGCCTAGAGTATTTCCACAGCAGGCCTTTAGATGGAGTCCCTTCATGAAGAACTAAGTCCAGAACTCTCCGGTTAATTTGACATTTTCACAAGATTCCAGTGAATATTCTAGGGAATCTTTTTGACAGATATATTTATTTAATCACAGGTATACATCTGATGTGGAATACTAAAATGCAGGTAGCTTATACTGTACAGAGAAAAACTACATTTCTCTAAAATTCCATACAGTTCTTACTAATCTTATAAACCTTATTTCTAAAGTTCAAAAATTCTATGAAGAACCCAAACTTAGAAAGCCTGTCTACCCTGGCAGGATTCAGCTAAAAGGCAATCAAATAATGTATTTTCTCATTTAAGGAAGGACCTGTCTCTTAAACAGCCTGGAGGACGGCAGTAAGGTTATGTGAATTTCCTCAAAAAAGAAAAGCCATGCCAAATTATCGGTGTTTAATATATGAATGACCATTATGACTAGGGTTTTCATTACTGGTATGGAGTTGGAGCAAAATAGACAACTTACATAAGATTCCATTAGGGCAGTCAGGTCTGAACGAATCTTCCTTGCTAGCCAGATAGAGCGGCTACAGAGGTCCCGGCGGTGAAGGGTCAGAGGTGACTGCTCTGCGAAAGCCATCCCCTAAATTAACTGTCCCAGGCAACAAGTGAGCTGGTTTGCTTCTGTCTTCACTGGTCCAAATAAGAAATGTGACTCCCACAGACTAAATCCACTGGGCATTCTCTAATGGGATTGTGCACCCCCATCCCCACCCCCTGCCTGACTCAGAGGTGGCAGCAAATTCCTGGCTGTGGATTTTTTTGACTGTGGAATCAAAGAGCCCTTTTAATCAGTCTTTTTTTTTTTTTTTCCACAGCGTCTGCCTCCATCTCTCCTCAGTACTTAGCACTTGTTTTTATGTCATTGTTTTGCTTTTGTACTTAGCAACAAGGTCACTATCACACTAATCCTCATAACATCCACCTCTGCCTAATGTAGTCTGTTATTTACACATATAATTTGATTTTATTATTCTGCTTTCTATGCTCGTTATATTTAAAATTTTATAACTTGGCAAAGTGTACTAACTATTGAGATAGGTGCCATTTATTAAATGAGTCAGATACTGTGCTACATATTTAAACTTCATTTGAATCTTAAGTAATATTAAATATTAGTATTTGGGTATAAATAAGTTTCCTCACTTGACATAAGAAACTTTTATCAAATAAATTAACCCAATAAAGTAGATTCATGTTTATTCACTGGTCTTTGGGTTTACCCCCCACCCCCACCTCCCACAGACTTTACAATTTCTTTGGGTAGCTCCTGTTTTGTGCAAGAAACAAAGACCATGTGATAGAGGTCCTTTGTAGCATCTTTCCATTCCCATCCTTTGTAAGGTTTAGACTCATCTAAAATTTAGCTAAAGGAGCATCTCGAATCTCAATCACGGTAGTTACAGGATGTGGAAGACAGTGTTTAGGCCTGTTCTCTCCCAAAGGAAAACACCCAACCCCAACTTGGTAACATTTCTTAGGCAGTTTTACTCAAGTGACAACATGCTTCTTTTTCTTCCCTCTCCCAATCATATTCCATTTTAAACAGGGGAATAAAGACAGCTTTGAAATGAGGACAAAAGAGTCAAAAGGTGCTTACTGATCTGTCATTCTACTGTACTACACTCACAGGGTGATATAAATAAGCCAAAGTTTCAACCCCAAACGGGTCAATGAATGCCCCCATTTTATCACAGATGTTGCCAAGAAGTTTAAACATTTGCCATGTCAGGAGCAAATTGACATAAATGAACGATAAATGAGAAATGGCTGCCATAGAACTTTTACCAAGATTTTTTTTTTTTAAAGTTAGAACTTGATATAGGTACTAAAAGCTTTATTAAGAAGCACTGATGTTAAAATGCAACCAAGGTTTTGTTATTATCAGAGTAAACTGTACTTCACATTTCCTTAACATCCCCTGGTAAGCAACTAAAACATGACTTGGAGTCTGCCAAACACAAGGCATCTCAGCCTGGGAACTGCTTCCCAACTCTCAACAAAGAGCAAATAGCAGCATACAAAAGCCTACCCCGGGGGCATCTGTTTTCCTCATTTAGTAGCATCAACTGTTTTACCCTCGGATGACTAACTCAGTACAACCAAGGAAGACCAGTTGCTTCCAGGAAGACTTTTATTTTTCTCTTTACATATTTATTTTGAATATGATTACCTAGATTAAGAGGAAACAAGATTTTAAAAGCAAAGTATCCCTTTTATTATAATTTTTTTTTTTTTTACATAACTTTTAAACCTAGATCAAGTAACCACCTATCTCTCATCACAGGAAAAGGGTCCTGCACATTTCAACAGGCAAAAAAAGGTTTTAGGAAATATGATTGCCCCTTGACGATGTTCCGGTTTTCTTGAGTATACTGGAAAATTGATAGAAAGACAGGAGGGAAACTGGTCCTGCAGCAAGGCTGTAAGACTTCACTTAGGTTGGTGGTATAGTATATGCTCTTCCTCCAAACATGTACAAGGGAGGTCCAAGTGCTCTACACTTATGTTTTCTTTGCTCATACCCAGGACTCCCAGCCAGTGTCTGACTAAACCCTGTAAAATGCACTAAGGTCTATCTAATTAAGCAAAACACGATAGCAACCCAAGCAAAGAGGTCGCATAAGTCCCCCCAAATTCTGAGTACTTATCACAATTATTATCCATAAAATTTAGAACTGCCAATTGAAGATGGATGTATGACTAGTTATTTAAAAGATAACAAGATGGGTATAAAATATTGTTTTTCAAGATTAAAAGGACTCCTTAGAAGGATAACTAAATGAGTGTCACAGGAAAAAAAGAAAATGAGAATGGGGCTTAGTTTGCTCATATAGACTTTCACTATGCTAGTATTTGTTCTCAAAAGAAAAAAATATAAAGGTCATGAAAAATATCTTAACATTTCTTGCAAACTGCTATAATAATTTATTGTCAGCAAATGGTAGCTACGAAGAAGGCCCAGCCCCTGTACACTCCACTGCACCCCAACGACAGGACAGGAAGTTTCTAATTATTAGGACTAGTTGCTTTCATGGTGAGGGGAATGAGGTACAGAAAAGGTATTTTTCCCCATCCCAGAAAGAAGAGATGTTTACAATATAGTTTGCTTTCCTGTGGGTGGCTGATGAGTAACCACTCTAAGTGAAATTCATGGAGACAGCCTAAATATGAAAAACGACAGATATTAGCTAGAGAAACAGTATCAAGAGGAGCAACTTGGTTGCAGACCCATTTATATTTACTCTTACAGTATTTTCAAATTTACCCAATGTACCAAAATCAACTGCAAAGTCTGTGGGGCAGGAAAGCCTGTCTTCAATGCCTTCTCTGCCCTTGCATGAGAGGGATGGAAGTCTGCAACACTCTAGCGGAAACAATAATGTGTTTAACATTGTTCCTGTAGGTGTATTTCTCCCTCCTCCCTGGAATCCCAACCACTGACATAGGTGGGTGTACAGTAAGCGTCTTTCAGAGATGACATTTTGTACTCTCCTTTTGGGGAAAAATAATTAAGCAGAGAAAATTTGATAAACTCTACAGTTTTAGTGTTTGTGAAAAACAAGCCTTTCCCTGTTTTGTTCTCAGTCAGACTCTTATTTTTCCCAACAGTCATCATGTATTCCTGACAACAATTGGCCAGGTCTTCAGTGGCAGATTCTGAAGTACACTACTAATAATACACTACTACTACTAAAAAAAAAAAAAAAAAAAAAAAAAAAAAAAAAAAAAAAAAAAAAAAGAAAAGAAAAAAAAAAGAAAAAGAAAAAGAGGTGAATCAGGGTTTTAGTCTTCTGAGGTAAGCATGTAAAAACACGATCTGCATCTCCCATTGACAGTAATAAACAGTCCACAATGCATTAAAATCCCTACTCTGAGGAAAACAGATAATTCAGGGGAAAGCCAAAAACATCATCATACGGATTTTCACTTTTGTTTTTGTCTACTGAAGCTTTGTCTCTTCTGAAGAGGAAATAAGACAGAACAGTTTACTCTTAACAAAAACTCAAGGACTCTTAGATTTTGTTCCTTCATGAATGACAGGGTTTGGTCTTCCACTAACGCAGAGTTGGAATGACCAATGACAAAACAAAAACCAAAATCAAAACAAGGGGTCAGTTAGGCCAGCAGAGAGATATATATGCAAAGAAATGCAGGGGACAAAAAGAAGATAAATTCACAGAAGAAAATCTTTTATGTGTGATTCAGACCTTGACCAACATTCCTCATCCCCTCAAAATTTCTTGTATCTCAATGCTCTGAAAACCTCAAAGAGCACACTAGTTACCACAAACCTATCAACCTTCCCCTAAGGCTTCCAAAAAGCACTAGGCTACTGTAGTGATTCTGTTAAGTGCTGAGGACCAGCTTTCTTTAAAGGCCACTGGAGAACTATGATTTTAGAGGCTGGCTGTGCTTCTTTAACTCTAAGCCTTGCCTTCAAAGTACCTCTTGTAGGAAGGATCCCATGTCAGAATAATCTACTCTCCCAGCCCCACAAAACATAGCAACAAAGACCCTCCCCCCCCCAAAAAAAATCAGACTTTCCATTAATAAATAAGAAATCTCAGGTTCCACAACACAAAAACACACATGTTCAAAGTGCAAATTTCTGCCATTAGCCTGGGACTTTTCTCACTAATATAGAGCCCTGTCCTACAGCCAGAAAGACTGTACAGAGGGCAGTCCCCTTTCTCTTGGGAGCCTGCTTCCAAGCAAGTGAGCACCATTAAGAGCCATATGGAGGTTTGGGAGGGGGGACTGAGGTGCTGGGATCCATTGAAGGGGAAGAAGGTGGTCCCCATGTATTCTTCCTTCTCCAAACCTAGTGAGTAATGGAAGAAGAGGGGTGAAGAGATGCATGCTGTTTAACAGCATCCTGCTAAGGGGCCCTAAAGTGCCAAGTCAAGCTGCCAGCCTCCAGAAAATAGAATTATATAATATTTGAGGGTAAGTGTTGGTTGTTGCAGTGGGGAGAAGCCAGAGCCATAGGGCAGTAGTAGAAGAAAACAGATTTAGATGATAGTAATATACTATTATGAGTTAAAAGCTGATCCAGAGCACATCAGTTATAGGTTGGGAAAAGGAGATCTGCCAATGAGCAGGAAGCCTGTTGATGGCTGGAACCAAGTATGCTACTGCTTTTTCATCAACCTTTCTGGTAAAGGCAACATCAATGTTTTAAGGATGAGGGAGGGGAGTTCAGGAAAAAGGGATGATGTGTGTGTATGTGCTGTGATCCACAATGCAAAGAGCAGGCCCTTCAGTTATTTTACTAGATTTTTAAATGCTTTAAATTTTTTTTTTTTTGTCCTTTTTATCTTTTAAATACAAAGTCTGTACTGTCCCAGCGCCCAAAGTCTTCCTTTGCACTAAGGTCCAGTAGAGTCTGTATCTTCAATCAGAACCTCTGTGGTAGCACCGAGTATATCCGAGTTCATGACCAGCCCTTCAGTGCCCCCACTGCTGCCACTTCCTACAAAGATCTTCCCGTCAGCCATAAGGCTCACCCGTTCTGTCCCACTGCAGTATGATTTTGACATCCCTTCTGCTTCTAACAGTAGGCACTCTCCAGATGTTGAGTTTCCCAAGGGCTCAGGAAGAAGAGGAAGCCCCTGAGCATCTGCAGGTTGTGTCAGGGGCTCTGGGTTAGTGCCCAAGATATCTGTGCTGGTGATGAGGGCGCCTGCATTGGCTGCCAAAGCTTCTGCAATCAGCACCTCAGGGTGGCTTTTTGCTTTGTGTGCCACTACACTGTCCTTCTTCTCAAATTTTTTGCCACAGATATTGCAAGAAAACTGGTAGAAGGAGTCTGCATCATGTTTCTTCATGTGCCAATTAAGGGATGCCTTTTGTCGACAAGTAAATCCACAGATCTCGCATCTAAAGGAAATCCAAAAGGAAATGAATGATCAAGCAGAACTCTTAAATCAAGGGCCAGTTGAGAACCGAAAAACTTATATGTACACACAAAACTTATGTAGGATTAGGAAATCATTAGATAGAAATCTAATTTTAAAAAGCATCTGTTTAAGAAAGAGCAAAATAAGCACACTCCACTCCAGTGGATGATCCTATACTCAAGTACATAGGAAGCACAAATTGGCTATTAAAACAAACAAACAAACAAACAAACAAACAAACAAACAAACCCAACCCAAACCAAACCAAACCAAAAAACAACGGTTGAGTTGGGTTAGGTAAGAAGTGGTTAAGAATTCTCAAATTAGTAAAAATATATTTAAAAAGAACAGTAAAGCACTCCCCAATGAAATCTACTCTTTAATTTAGTAAAAGCAAATAGCAGTGACAACTGAATATGGGACATATTTCCAAGTGAGATAAATGCACTTCTACCCAGATGTTGACTGGTAAGCAAATACTCACTGTAATGGCTTCTCGCCCGTATGAATCATCCGGTGTACTGCCAGATTGTGGGAGCTCTTGAAGGCCCGAGCACAATATTCACAGATATAATCCCTCTGATCTAAGAAGAAACGCAATGTGGTTAATATTCCATTAAGACACCTTGTAAGTACTTTCTGCAGTTTGCAGGTGAACAAGTCTTCTGGCATATAACACTACAGTACATAACACTCTTTACAGTGAGGAAATACTTTGAGAAAACTAAATTTAGCACCAAAATATTGTTTTCATTTTTAGTCCATAGATTCAGTAGCATAAAAATCAGCTTTAAAAATTCTAGAAGCTAGTATTACTCTAATACCTAAGCCAGTTATAGACACAGAAAAGCAAAAGAAAAGATAAGGACAACATGCTAATATCCCTGACACACATTGATAAAAATGCTATTAATAAAATACTGCACTGAATACAGACATTTATCAAGTTGGTTTTATCCCAGAGATACAGGGAGGATTCAATACATGTAAGTCAGCAAACCAGTAAAAGGTAGAAACATTCTCTTAAACCAGCTCTTCTCAACCTGCAGGCTATGACCACTTTGGGGGTTGTGTGTCAAACATCCCTTTTAGAGGGGTTGCATATCATATATTTACATTATGACTCATAATAGTAGCAAAATTACAATTATAGAGATAAAGTTACAAATATAATTTTATGATTGGGCATCATTACATTAAGAACTACATTAGAAAGGTTTGGAACCACTGTCTTAAACAGAGAAAAATAAAACAAAACAAACAAACAAAAAAAAACAATTGTACAAAATCAGCAAGTATCACAAATAGATTTTAAGAGGCACAGAGAGGGCCTTAAAGAAACCAAACCAAACCCAGAGGACACCAGGGTGGGTGGATCTGGTAGCAGATTAAAGGAGGAGTAACATCAAGATATGTTGTTATGAAATTCTCTAAGAATTAATAAAAATAACTTTTAGAGATCCCAGTTAAGGATATCTCACAGGTTTAAGTTGCATAATTTCTTACTGTTGTGAGAAAGTAATAGGAAAAAAGGTTTATTTCCTCTACAGAACATCTGATTGCAACCCACTGGAGGGAAAGCTTGGTCCATATTCACACTCAGGAACCAGAAGGAAGGGAATACAATTCCTCAGTTCATTTTCTACTTCCTTTTCATTTAGTTTAGGAATCTAGCTAGCAGTGTAGTGCTGATGCCCACATTCAGAGCATCACTAACTTTTCTTGGAACCCTGAATAGACACACCTAGAACTATGTCTGCTAAGTAAGTCTAAATTCTGCCACCAAAACCAATCAATCAATAAATAAATATCAGGAACAAGACCCACTGTCCTCACTCCTTTTCAATAGCGCCTGAAGCAAAAATTAAAAGTATACAAGTAGGAAAAAAGGTCAAGAATGCCCTATTTGCAGATACAATATTATGTATAACAAAGATCCCTAAAAGTTCACCATAAAACTTCTAGATATAATCAACAATTTCTATAAAGTTGTTAGACTAAAAAAAAAAAAAAAAAAAAAATCAACTTACAGCAGTCTTTCTATTAAAAAAGAATGAGATCACGGACATAGTCTCATTCACAACAGCCTTAAAGAAATTTAAAATATCTAGGAATAAACCTAAACAAGAGGTAAAAGACCTCAACAATGAAAATTAAATCTCTGAGTAAAGAGATAAAGGGATGCATTAGAAAATGGAAACGGCTATTTTATCAAAAGACATTTATAAATGCAATGCAATCTGAATGAAAATGCCCACAGTATTCTGTTCTTTTCCACAACTTTAGAAGACCCTAGATAGACAAGGCAAAAGAGAACAATGTTTGAAGAATTACTAGTTCATATTTCAAGATATATTTCAGAGCCACAGTATAAAGCACGGTATGGCGCCAGCATAAAAACAGACATGTAGATAAATGGAACAAAAGCGAAAATCTACACACATACACGTAACTATAGCTACCTAATATTTGAAGATGCTCTGGTGCCTAGTATTATGTAAACTTAATGAGCTGAAGATATTTTGAAACAGGAACCTCAACTGAGAAAATGGCCCCAGTAAAGTGGCCTGTGGGTAAGTCTGTGGTACATTTTTAAATTAACATTAACAATTGATGCTGCAGGGCTCAGTTCACTGTGGACGGTAACACACCTGGGCAGGTAGCCCTGTGGTTTAAAATCATGCTAAGCAGGCCAATAGGCAGTGTTCTGCTGCTATGACAGCTTTGGTTCCTGCCCTGACTTCCCTTGATAAACTGTGATGTGGAAGCGTAATCATTTAAAATAAAATCTTCCCCAAGTTGTTTTGGGTCATGGTGTATAGCAATAATAAATCTTAATTACAAAATTAAATATTTTTGATTATGAAATTTAATAAAAAGATGGCAAACACAAACCACGGAGACAAGATGGCATCTTCATCAAATAGTGCTGGAAAAACTGGATGTCTACTGAAATCAGATCCATATATATCACCTTGTAAAAAATTAATTCCAAATATATCAAAGACCTCAATTTGAGTTATGAGATACTGAAACTGCTAGAAGAAAACATAGATAGAGGTGTAGGGAAGGACTTTTCTGAATAGGACTCCATTTGCCCAAGAATTAACATCAGCAAGCCTCATAAAAATCAAAAGCCTTTTGTATAGCTAAGAAAATAATTGTGTTAAGTGGACTCCTATAGAATGGGCAAGAACCTCCAGTCAAAAAAAAAAAAAAAAAAAAAAAACACAAATAATCCATTTAAAAATGGAGCTTTGGCTCTGAACAGAATTTGCAAAAAAAGAAAAAAAGAAAGAAAGAAAGAAAGAAAGAAAGAAAGAAAGAAAGAAAGAAAGAAAGAAAGAAAGAACGAACACACAAAGTGTTCATCATCCTTAGCAATCAGAGAAATGCAAATGACAGCAATTCCATTTTATCCCTCCACCAGAATGGCTAACAAAACTGACAACAAATGCTGGAGGAAAAAGAGAACCCTCATTCACTGTTGTTGACATTGCAAACTAGTTAAGTAACTTTGCATATCAGTGTGGAGAATCCTGAAAAATCTAAAAATAAATCTACCATGAACCAGGTAGTCTACTCTTTGACATATGCCCAAAGGACTTGACATCCTACTCCATAGATACTTGCTCAGTCATGTTCACCGCTGCTCTACAGTAGCTAGGAAATGGAAACAAAACTTTTCAAATGATAAATAAAGAAGATGTGATATTATACACTCATATATATGTATATATGTTATATAACCCATATATATATATGTATGGGTTTATATATATATGGGTTTATATAACACACATACATATAAAATGTTCTATTCAGCTGTGAAGAAAAGTGAAGTCATGATATTTGCAAGGAAATGGATGGAACTAGAAGATATACTGAGTAGGGAAACCTAGAAACACAAAAAGACGTTCTTATTCTCTATCATGTGTGGCTCCTAGCTCCAAATCTTCAGATGTCTGCATATAAACTGGAGTAACCAGGCAAGTCTCAGCACTTAGGAAGCGTTAGCCAGATCTCTCTATGAAACTAGCTTTGTGTGCATAGCAAATTCTAGGTCAGCTAGGGCTACCAAGTAAATCTTCCCTCACAAAACCAGAAAGAACTCCACCTAAAAGAAAGGTATAATAAGGAAACCAGAATCTCAATCCCAGTTGTACCAACATTTTACATAATGAATAAACTGGTTAGGATTGTGTAGTGGTTTGAATGAGAATGGCCCCCATAAGCTCATGTATTAGATGTCTGCCTCATAGCTGGTGGAACTATTTAGTAAAATTAGGAGGTACAGCTTTGTTGGAGAGAAGATGGAACTGGCGGTGGGCTTTGAGGTTTCAAAAGCCCAAACCAGGGCAGTTTCTCTTTCTGACTGCAAATTATGGACCAGATATAAACTCTCAGCTACTTTTCCAGCACCATGACCGCCTGCTGTCATGATCCCAGCCATGACAATGAACACTCTGAAACTGTAAGCAATCTCCCGATTAAATGTTTTTCCTTAATGAGAGTTGCGCTGGCCATGGTGCCTACTCACAGCAATAGAACAGTATCTGAGGCAGATATTAAATGCATTTTCCATGGGTTTTATTATTTGAAATGTCTTTTCCAGAGTGTGAAAGATATTCACATTAAACAAACAAAATAACATTTAAAAAGCCCAAATAAAAACAATATTTTTTCTTGCTAGAATAGCTGATTTATATCTACACAACAGTAAACAATGTTTCAGGTTAAATAATACCCAGATATTTCAAATATATGCAAATGATACCCTGTATCTTCTGAATCATTCAAGTATTTCCTCATTCCATTATAACTCCCTCACCCCAAATTTCCCAGAACCTGAATGAATCAATGATATAAAAGATCACTGTACTATGTTTCTACTAGTTAGCTAGGGAACCAAAGAGATATGTTGAATAACTTGTTGAATTAATAACCACACTGTCTATTGCATTTAAAACTACTTCAATCAATCACAGTAAGAACATATTTGTGTAAGTTAAGTTGTCAACAGTATCTATCTCAATCCAATACTCCTTCCCAAATAGCTTTAAAATCAAGTGTACCAGACACAGTATGTGTCTCACTAAAAAGGCTGAGGGATAAGCTATGTTTTCCTTCAACTTTGAACATACATAGCAATCGCTTTGGAGATATTTTTAATGAATATACTGATTCAGCACATATGAGGGAGGGCTAGCAAAAACCCAAATGATGCAATGCTGGTGGTTCTGTGTTGCACACTGTACAAGTTCTGAAAATAAGTTCTAACACTAGAACAACAGTATCACTCAGATGTCCTACAGAGAGTCTTGTGGATAGCCAGCTTTAACTATTTTAGCTTCAATGGAGCACAGCAAATGTGTGGGAAAAACACTTGCTAAGCTACATTTACAAAAGGGATCCACTTCTCTTCCCCCTAGCTGGGTGATCTTTTCAAGCCCCAGTGAGAGAGGATGCGCTTAGACCTGCTGTGACTTGAGGTGCCTGGGTGGGTTGATAGCCTTTGAGGGATTCCCCTTCTCTGATGAAAGGAGACAGGGGAGAGGTCATGAGGGTGGGACTGGGAGGAGAGGAGACACGGGGTTAGGTTGTAAAGTGATTAAATTAATAAATAAAAGAAATAACAACAAAACAAAGGGGATCCGCATAAACTAATTTCCAAAAGGAGTAACATTTTGAAATTATATAAACCAAATATAAATATTTGAATCAGAATGCATTCTAAAAGGTTCCATACTAGATTTGTGATGTTTAGCTACAATAAATAGTCTAAGCTGCTTGTCAGGAAGATTTTCAGTGATAAAACAGCACAGAGAGAGAACAACAAAATAATAGCATGTATTTAGGGAGCAAAACAGCATTTTCCCCTCAGAGAGGACTGCAGAGATAGATCCATCAACCAAAGGCCATGCATAGAGAGGACCTAGAGGCCATGCTCAGATGTAGCCCATAGATAGCCCAGTCTCCATGTGGGTCCCCTAGTAAGGGGAGAACAGAGTCTCTGACATGAACTCGGTTGCCTGCTCCTTGATCACATTTCTCTGGGGAGGCAATCCACCCAGTCCACGGAGGAAGAGGATTCAGGCAGTCTGTATGGGACCTGATAGGCTAGGCTCGGACTGTATGGGAGGAGGACTTCCCTTATCAGTGGACCAGGGAACGAGGATATGGGAGGAAGAGGGAAGAAGGGTTAGACTGGGAAGAGGCTACAACTAGGATACAAAGCCAGTAAATTGTAATAATAGAAATAATAATAATATAATAATAATAATAATAATAATAATAATAATAATGATAATAATAATAAAATTATAAAGAAATGATTGTAGACTGGAGAAATTCAGGCCCAAGATTTCATATTCTCGCTTTTCACAAGTTCTACATAATACATAGAAACACGTCATCTCATTTCAACATTACAATCAGTCTGTCATACTTTTAAGTGAAAAGTAAAGTGACTTGCCTAAGTGAACGTATATGCATCATATTAGCAGCTGAGGGGTGGGGGGGGGGGGGAGAAGAAACATTTTTTTCAGGGGAATTTTTAGTCTTACTGTCCAAGACTGAGAAGAGAAAATAGGTGATTCTCAGTTGTGAGACATATCCAATTAGTACTATATACCATCGATACGAAACTCAATTTATGTTTAAAGCAGAATCTCATTGAGATTTTTCAGTGGCTATAAATGAATAGAAACTGAGCCTACATATACATAATATATATCAGTCAGCTTCTGTGTCTGAATTATTTCTACAGAAATTAGCAAACAAGTTCAATAACTAGATTTTATGATCTCCACACATATAATCATCTTGAGCTATTTAATAGTTAAACATAAAGCAAAATTCCTTTATTTTTTTGGCTTTTTTAGTAATGTTCATTCTATGTTTATTCCCTAATAGCAACTAACAAGTTTCTAGCTTTGCTGGTAAGTATCTACTTGTAGCAGAATTGAAAAATCCTGCTTCTGTTAGTTTAACTAGGTGATGATTGACAAATTACTTAATTCTGCTGAACCTGATTTCTGAGGTATAAAACACAGCTTAGTGGTATGGAGTAGATAATTAGCATGATTGTATGTAAATTGATAGTTGACACAGAATATATGTCAAGTAAAAAAAACTAATCAATATTCCAATTCAAAGAAAATTCTCAGAAGACAATAAAAATTCTAAAGCTCTAGCTGATCATACTCTAATTTAAAAATGTTTAAAGTATTTATTTTTGCCTAAGTATGGTACACATGAAGGGCTGAAGATGAAGTCAGTAGTCTTTTGGGATCCTTCTTTATCCTATTATTTGGGGCAAGATTACTTATGAAACCCAGAGAGCACTGATTCTAGCTAGCCAGCCAGATTGTCCTAGAGATTCTGTCTCTGCCTTCCCAAGGGCTAGGACTACAAGCGGCTACTATGACTGCCTGGCTCTCCCGTAGGTCCTAGGGCATCTGATCTCTGGTTCTCATGCTTTCAGGGCAAGTGCTTTATTCCAACAAGGTTACTTTATGACTACAAAACCAGTGACTGTCAATTCCAATACTTGGGAGAGTATGGCAGGACTGTTTGTTGGGAGCTTGAGGCCAGCCTTTTCTCCACAGTGAGTTCCAGGCCAACCAGGACCTCTTCGGCTTTTAAAACAGGTTTTAACTACGTAGTGAAGTCTGGGAACGTGAACTCCTGCTTCAGTTTCCCCTGTGCTGGGATTATAGATGTGTATGACCAAGCCCAACTTAAAAACATCACATTTAAGTTTTATGTTTATATGTTATTAATATTCATTTTCATTACTTTCTTTCTCCCACGCTTGCCAACTAGGTCCTTTAAAGAAGACTTTTATAGAAAATCTTGCTTTATTATCAGTCTATATACCCAAAGTACAATTGGCTACTTGGTAAACATTTTACTTAGAAATGTACCTGTATGATGTTTAGCATGCCGCAAAAGTTGTTTCTGGAGCCTGAAGAGTCGTCCACAGGAGGGATGGGGACACACATATTTTTTTTTCAGCAAATGCTGGTACTTAATGTGGTGCTAAAATAGCAAAAGTAAGTAAGTAAGTAATAATAATAATAATAAGTTTTTTCAACACCCTTTTTGCTAAGTCGAGAATAATAATAATAATAATAATAATAATAATAATAATAATAATAATAATAATAATGTTTTTTTCAACACCCTTTTTGCTAAGTCGAGAATCCTAAAGGAAAACTAGCAGAGAAAAATGGTAAAGCACACAGGGTATGAAATTGACCTGGATTCTAATCAGCATGTGTCACTCACTAGCAATGTAATCTTGGATGTATGTAAATATTTCAAGTCCTAGTTTTTATTTGTAAAATAAAACACAATAATGAGTGTACAAAATGGCACATCACATACCCAAAACAAAAAAAACAGTAGCTATAATTACTGTAACAGAATCACAATCCAAAAGGCTGTAGTTTCATAATTGCTGTTAAAGACCAGCAGGTATTTATTAAGCAACATTTCACTATTTCAATTCCCCATTTCCTGCCAGACTTGTACCCAGAAACCCAACCAATTAATGTATTTATTCACTTAAGGAAAAAATTTAAAAGATCAAACATTTAAAAATCACTCATTTTGTACTATTTAAAAAAAAAATCACTGGTTTGAATGCTTTATTTTTTATCCTATATATTAAGTTAAAATCTATTATTCTGTCTGGTATTGTTACAATAATCTGCTATACTATTTTGGGACATTCTTACTATAATACTGTAACAATAAAAAAAAAAAAGTCCTGTTCTTGGGCTCAGGTTTTTAGTCCTTTATTATTATTTAACAGAATGTGCTAAGGTTTCAATGTATGCCCGCAAGGTTCCCGGAGTTGAAAACTTAAGTCTTCAAAGCCACAATGCTGACATAGGTTTAAGTGTTCTGTCCCTTCAGATGGATTAAAGTTGTTACCAAAGTAAACAGTTTCCTGCTTTCTCCTTGTCCTCCAGCCTTGTACACTGTGAAGTTAAGAAGACCCTTTCTGGATGCTGGTACCACATTCTTAGACTTCTAACGGACTTAGAATTAAAAGCCAATAAATTTATTCTTTACTATTAGTCTCAGGTATTCCGCTAAAGCAGTGTAAGTGAAGTAGTAAAGATATTAGGTAACTTATACTTAGGAATATTTTTCTTTGTATTTTATGTCACTGTTTACAAATTCCACACAACTGACATCTTAGGAGACAAGTAATGGACACTTTATAAAGACTGTGACATGTAACAACTTCACTGACCTGCAAATAGCGAGGGTGAGCAAGAACAGTCCCACATCCTTCCATCTCACAACGAACATACTGGATTGGAGGTTTTTTCCTATTGCCAAAATGTTGAAAAAAGTTAGCAAGAGAAGTGGTATTCTATATATCGTGATAATAGATACGATGTAAATTATCTATAGTAATACACAGGTTTCACAAAATTTGTAATCAATAAACTGTCAAATGTTTGATAGTTTAAAAATAGCATGATTAAGCTGGCAAGCCACAAAAAGATAAAACAGTACTGAGGATTTCAGACAATTCAATGTCCTGCAATGAAAATGAAAACACACCATCTGTACATCATTAACAAAAGAAAACCACACTTGAAAAAGTTTAAATAAGCCACACCTCCTCTGCTTATGAAAATTAATCAAATGCCTAGCAACAAACCTAAGATAGAAAAAAGAAAGGCTTTACCTCCTTTTGGGTAAACGTGGACTTTTGTCATCTTTCCGCCTTCTCCCTCTCCTAAAATTTAAGAAAGAGTAGTTGACTAAATATTCTAGATGAAAGCTTACAGAGATAAGGATGGCTAAAGGCACGTTCTAAGTGAAAAATAACAGCTGGCAGACACAGTGAATAAAAATAATACAAGAACCAAAGGTACCTGGCCACCGAGGCAGATTTACTCTGAGGTAATTTAACTCTTAATTCATTCTTTATCTTGGAGTAAACTAGGCATTATTTTGGATATGTGGATAAATTTCAATGTTATTACTTGAAGACTAGTTACAGTAAAAAGTTTATCATTTAAATACAATTCATTAAAAAAAAGGCAATCAAGAAGATAAAAACGCATCTAATTTCTGCAGCAAACTCTACCAGGCAGAAAGTTTTTACCCAATCATGATTTGTGCATCATTTAATGTATTTATTAGTTTTTGAGGACACACATTTGAGAAATTTTTTCTGGCTTTCTCTATTCTCTCTCTATCCCTATATATACTGTTTTTATTGCTCACTTGGACTTACTTATATTTTGCTTTGTAATAAATCAAAACCAAACTTTCAAGCTTCTGTTGCTCCAAAGAAACTCGTAGACATTTATCTTTCCTTTGTGTGTTCGGGCCGGCCACTCACTCTCTATCTATCTATCTATCTATCTATCTATCTATCTATCTATCTATCTATCTATCTATCTATCTATCTATCTATGAGAGGGTGTCATTATGTAGCCTTGGCTACCTTGGAATTAGCCATGTAGATTAGGTTGACCTCACAGAGACAGATGTCTGCCCAAGTGTTGCGATTAAAGGCATGTTGCCCCATGGCCAGATGTGTGTGTGTGTGTGTGTGTGTGTGTACACAGAAGTCTGTCTACTAGTGGCTCTAAAAGGTAGAAACACTTTCCACTTTTAGTAGAAACTGCCTACTCACTTCCTAGGAGGCTCCTCATCTTCCCTAATTTCATTCTCTTCTTCTTTAACCTCTACTTCTACTTCCACTTTAATTTCTTTCTTTTCTTTCTCTTCTTTCACCTTCCCTGATTTTCTCCGTGGCTTTGGGGTTTCCCTAAAAACAGAAAAACATTTCAGCATAAATATTCTAACAAAGACTTCATTAGAGGTAGTCTATGATACCATGTTAAAGCTTAGATTTATCATTCTCTTATTCTGAAGCTTACAAACTACATCTAACAAACTGTGCACCCCTGCCCCCATAGCAAGTATGCATACATTTATATATATGTGTGTGTATATACAAGTGTGTGTACACATTTACACACACACATAAATATATATAAATATATAATGTCCATGGATGAATACTGCTGTATACTGGCTAGTTTTATGTCAACTTGACACAAGCTATAGTTATCAGAAAGAAGGTAACCCCAATTGAGAAAATGCCTCCAGAAGACATAGGCAAGCCTGTAGGGCATTTTCTTAACTAGTGATTCATGGGGAAGAACCCAGCCCACTGTATATAGGAACAACCCTCCTTTGGTAGTTCTGAATTCTATAAGAGGGCAGGCTGAGCCAAGCCAGTAAGCAGTGCCCCTCATGGTCTCTACATCAGCAGCTGTCTCCAGGATGTAGCCGTTAGACTTCTTGTCCTGAAATCCTTCAGCGATGGACAATAGGTGTGAAAGAGTAAGCCAAAGAAACTCTTTTCTCCCTAACTTGCTTTTGGTCATGATGTTTTATCATAGCAATAGTGACCTAAACTAAGACAGGCTAAAAACATAAAAATCAAATCTCTGAATAGTTGCAAAGAAAAATAAGATACTGAACAAAACAATTCTCAAGAACATTTCCAGAAAACCTTATTAAACTATACACATATCCACTAAATAATATTAAAGTTCAATAGATCAAAGAGAAATTTATAGGTGAAAGATGTTACAACTGCAAAACAATCACTCATTTAAAATTACTTGTTTATGTATTTAATCTTGCAACAAAAATAAAAACATTCAACAGTGTATTCCTATGTATTTTCGGCCATGTAGTAAAATTTCAAACATGCCTTTCAAGGTGGGGCTTGTAAGTCTCATCTCTTGGGTCATCTTTGAACGGTATTTCCTCTTCACTGATTAACATTTCTTCTTCCTCCTCCTCTTCCTCATCACTACTACAAATAAGCAAACAGAAATGATAAATTCTGGTCTCAAGGACTGTCTAATAGGACTGAATTAGAACACTTACACATAGCCGAATATTTACACTATCTAAAAATTTCATCCTTATGATTTGGTTGGACTACATTCTAAGCTCCTTTATTACAAGCAATACTTAGAACTCAGACTACACAAATAACACTTATAATATATAACAAACTCTTCTAATAAAAATAAGAGATAACTGCCCAATGGCACTAAGACTTAAGACGACTTTGTAAATGTTTATCTGATAACGTGTTTGCTCACAAAAGACTTAACCAACATTAAATTACCTAAGTACCAAGAAAGACAATGGGTAAGATACTTCTATTTTACATTGGTGCCCAACATAGGTTAAGCTTACCCATAGAAGATACTCAAGACATGCTTTTGGAAGTAGGAAACCAAAAGTTTTATGTTCAAAGTCCATTCAACATTAAATATGAAATATTAGTGTGACAAATTAAAACTGAAGTTAATTTTAGTAACAGTTCAAAATTCTATCAAATAAAAAAAGTCTAAATCATTTTATACAACGGAGTATTCAAAGATGTAAGTATAAAATAAACTTTATACCTAATGCCACCGGGAGACTGATGTTCTTCTGGAACGTCTGGAAAATTAAACCAAAGTTTATTGAGAAATACAAACTTTAGATATTCTCTCTTGACAGCCAAAGATTTAAATAAAATTACTGTATGAATCAATTCTATAAATGGAAGACTACAATGTGTCTGAAAAAAAAAAAATGCCTATCTACATTATCACCTGTTACCCCAAATTAAGACATTTAGGTAAATGTTCAACATTACATTTAAGATGAAAGAACAAACTAGATATTGAAGTAACCATAATGTATTTATTTGCACCATACCATAATCAAGTTGATCTGTAATTGGTTCTGACTTGCAGACGAGTTGCAACGAGCCAGTCTTGGACCTAGAGCTCCGAGTGTTCTCAGTGTCTCGAAGGCGAGAGATAGATGTCCTGCTACTACTGCGCCAGCCCCGGCTAGGTCTAGTTGTAGTAATGGAAACTTCCTGAGGGAGGACAGAATCATCTTCTTTTTCTTCCTTGGGATCTGGATGAGTGAAAACATATAATTCTTTTCAAGTTTTTAGTTAGCCAGTAACTATTCTTATAAAAAGAATGCAGAAGAGAAAAAAAATATTGAAATAATAAAAACAAGACAAGAGAATACTTTATTTGGGCACTGTGATGGTTTGAATAAGAATATCCCCATAGGCTCATATATTTGAATGCTTAGTTATTATGGAGTGGCACTATTAGTGTGTTCTTGTTGGAGAAAGTGTGTCATTGTGGGGTGGGCTTTAGGGTTTCAAATGCTCAAGCTGGGCTGCCCCAGCATCTCTGACTGTGAATCCAGATGTAGAATTCTCAGGCACTTCTCCAGCACCATGCCTGCCTGCGTGCTGCCAAGTTCCCCTCCATAATGACAATGGATTAACCCTCAACCTGTAAGCAAGCTCTGCTTTGTAAGAGTTGCTGTTGGACTAGTGTTTCACCACAGAAATGTGTGGTAGGCAGCATTTCTATAATCCATTACTTAGACTGATATAGAAGGATCATGAATTAAGGCCAATGAGATTATTTTAAAAAACAAACAAACAAACAAAGAATCACCAGAATTAAATCTTAGAAATCTACTGCTGAAGACACTACACACTTAAGACTGCAAGACAAAAAAAATCAAGCTGGAACTGAATTGGATTCTTTGTCCCCTTCTAACTCAACTTCATAGGGCTGAAACATCCTATGCACACTGCTGGAAAAGTCATCAACTGTCTCATCCAGTTGTGGATCTTGAAGTCTACAATAGTGATCTGCCAGGCAAGATATACCCATTTCTAGAATAGTGGTCTGACTGTTATATGGGTGATCAGCTGCTTTTTGAACTGAATCTGAGGTCCATTCCTTAAGAGGGAATTCATGTTTGGTAGGGAAAACCTGGTCAAAAACCCTCAGCTGGTAGGAAGCCAGGATATGCTCTAAGAGGGGAAACCTATCACTGTTGATTTCCTAACCAGACATAATGTCACACTGCTTTTATTTATACTTACATCTGCCGACTAGTGTTTTCTCAGCCTCGATTTGGTAAGCTTCTTTTTGCAGCGAGTGGTAGGTTAATATAGAGATCCTTAACTGAATAAAGTACTAACATTAAGTGACTTTTGAGTGCTCAGCCCTACCCAGGACATCTACGCTATGTACTACAAGCTCAGGGTACATCATGGAAGGGAGGGAGAATTTAAGAGCCAGAAAATGGGAATCTGTATTGTAAAATGCTATGTCCCGAATCTGACATGGCTGTTGCATTGATAAAAATTACAGTAACTACAGTTATCTGCCTAAGCCTGGGCCCTTCAATGTCTCTTGGAGGCAGTTAATGCTTGCTGGGAGGTGACAGCCAAACTGTCCTGTGACTTAGTCACTCAGTAAGATACCCTTGTACCAATGCTCATATAAGCAACTCTAGGCCCCCAGTATTAAAACAGCACTTATCCTAATACTGCTACTCTTCATGAAATATTTTTTTATTGCTAAATGGTATTTGTTTATTAAAAATGGAAAATAGACCCAAGAAATTGATTTATGGAATTCTAGCCATTAGCTCTAAGTTAAATTAAGGAAGTGGCCTCAGAAAGAGAACCTGAACTAGAGGTATCAAAAAAGAATGATAGTTAGTACTTAAAAGGATTTTCCCAACAGGAATGGCTTTCTTTGATGCTAAATTTTACTTAGATTCATACCATGATTTAAACTCATCTGTACAGTAACCTCATAGTAAAGTATAGTTCCAGTGTTATTCTATTTCAGGCTCTGTGAGACATTGTACACAGGCATATAAAAAGTTTTGTATTATCTTATATTTTCTCACATTATTAGGGTGAATTAAATGAAGTATATTATCTGCCCTTACACAGCACTAGATACTAGCTTAAATATCCAGAGTGCATTTAGCTAGTGAATAAAGGTAGTTTGTATTAGAGGTGAACCCACTTGGGCAGCAGGACAGCCTTTAAATAACTTCACCATGTGAAAACTTTTCTAAAACATAACAAAATTTCTAACTGCATAACCATAAAATATAGCAGAAGTCAAACAGAACCAACGTCTACTTAATAGCCCAACAGAAAAATGACACCTGAGTAAAATGATAGCTCAAAAAATATGGCTTTCAAACATGTAAATAACAAAAACCTCAATTAATTTATAATGACATCAACATGGCAGTGCGATATCATGTCTTACCTATCATTCTGATAATTATGGCGATAACACACTGCATGATCACAATAAGGCTTCAGGGAAATATGAACCCCAACACTCAGATGTTAGGGTGTTAGTAACAGCAATTCTATTAGACTGTAAGGCCTAAGAATAACAAACGAACAATCCCCAAAGGAAATTCAGAGAAATGATTCCCTGTACTAAAAGAGGAAAAAATATTGCTAAGACAATAATCTTCACAAAACAGATGTGGTCCGAAAATAATTCATATACAAATGCTAGAGCTGGCAAAACTACTCTAGGGAAAGAACAAAGATGGAAGACTATTTTTCAAAATCTCAAAACCTATTAAATACTACAGGAACCACTCTGGTACTGGCAAAAGACTAAACACAATAAGCCAACAAACCGAACAGAGACCGTATCTATAACTCTGATATAAAGCCATCCATCCATCTGCGCGTGCGCGCAAACACACACACACACACACACACACACACACACACACACACACACGTCAACTGATTTTTTAATAAGGCTTTAAGACTGCTGGATGTGTGAATGGACAATCTCTGCAACAAATGTTATTGGGAAAACATAATTCAAAGTGGATCATATACTTAAATTTAAGAGCTATTGCTTTGAAAACTCACAGTGAAGGTAGTCTATACAATAAGAGAAAATATTTGTAAATTATGTCTGCTAGAATACTTCAAACATACAAAACTCATTTTTCAATTTAACAAAGCAAAAACTAGAAACATAAGCAAAAGATCTGAACAAATATTTCATTAAAGATAAACAAGCTGAAAACAAAAAGCCACATGGAAAGATACTCAGTATCAGGCATTAATGAAATGCAAATCAAAATCCTGATGAGACCACAATTTCATACTGACTAGGATGGTTATGAAAAAAATGGAGAGCTGAGAAAGTGAAGAAACTGGAACCGTTGTACAATGCAAGCAGACTTGTAATACTGTGCAGGTAAACCAGAAGATTCTCAAGATTTCAACATAAAATTATGTATGATTGAATGATTCTGCTCCTACTTCATGATTTGGATATAACGGGCCTGCCCCACAGCCCAGGCACTCAAAACGAAGTTTTTACATTTGCACAGTTACGTGTGCTGGGCCTACAGAAGTGACTGGATCACGAGAGTTCTAACTTCAGTGGATTAATCACTGATGAACTCATAGTTTAGTGGACTATTAGGAAGTGGACCTTCCTCCTGGCTGTCACAGAGCAGCTTTCCTTCACTATAATAACAAAGTAGCAGCCTACAGAATAGAAAAAGATTTTTACTGTTTGACAGAGGACTAAAATCCAAAATAAATAAATAACTCAAGAAACTTGTTATCAAAAATCGAAGTAATCCTATCAAAACACCAAAAACACCAATCAAAATATACAAAAAATACAATCAAATGAGGTACAAATCTAAGCAGAGAATCCCAACAGAGCAAATTCAAATGGCTGAGAAATACTTAAATGTTTGATAGCCAACATCTTTGGCTATCAGAGAAATGCAAATAAAACTACTTTTAAGATTCCATTTTATACCTGTCAGAATGGCAATAACACAGGTGACAGCTTACGTGGGTGAGGATGTGTAGTAAGAGGAACAGTTCTCCATTGCTGTAGGAGTATGGAAATCAATATGGTGGAACCTCAGAAAAGCGGGACTTGATCTACCTCCAGACCTAGCTAGACTCCCTCTTTAGCATATAGCCCAAGGACTTTGCATTCTACCTACCACAAGGACATTTGCTCAACCATGTTCATTGCTACCCCTTTCTAATAGGAAGAAACTGGAAAGAATCTAGATGTTCCTCAACAGAAAAATGGAATAAGAAAATGTGGTACATTTATACAATGGAGTACTACTCACCTGTTGAAAGTATGACACCATAAAATTTGCAGGCAAACTGATAAAAGTAGGGGGATAAAAAAACATGCCGTGTAGCTAACCCAGATCACAAAAGATAAATATTGTATGACTTCACTTATATGTGGATATTAGCTGTTAAATGAATGATAACCAAGCTACAATCCAAGATCTGGAGAAGTTAGGTCTAGTTGGGGACACATGGATCCTCCTGGAAGAGGTACATAGATTTTATGGGTGGATTGGGAGTGGGTGATGGTGGGTGGGAATGGGAGGATCAGGTAGGGAGGGGGAGGAGAGATGGGGCTGAGGAAAGGAATTCAGGGAGAGACAGCTAGAATTGAGGGCATCTGAGGAGTAGTATGAAAACTTCCTAATATATACGAAGGTGAAATTAATAAAGTCCCCAAATAATGAGGAAGATGGAATCGAAACTAACCATTTCTTATCACCAAAGAAGCTTCCAGTACTGGGACTGGATTATAGCCAACTGCACTGTGGGCCAAAGGCGTTCTAAGGAAATCCCCAAACAACCCAAGCTGTTGACAAGACAACAGAATGCTCTCCTTAAACTGACAGCAAGTCTGACCCCTTGCTGAAGACAACTCCTACACAACTTACTAAACACTGAGAGGGTGAGGTGGGGCCTACATAGAACCTTCACTTCTATGTTTTAGTGTCTTTGGTATGGGAAGGTACTCTGCAGGCTACCAAAAGAGAAATGTAAACTCCAACCTACCCACAAAACTGATCTGCAATCTGTCCTGCCTGTAAAATCATGCTACGGCAATAGTGGCACAAAGCTTGGGGAAGTAACCAACCAATGTCTGATTTGACATTAAGGCCCACCGTACAAGATGGAAACCATACCTAATACTGCTTGGGTGAGTAAAATCCAAAACTAGATAGCTCCAAGATCTAGGATAAAACCAACTACT